CCCATACGAACGACAACTCTCAGAAGTTGAGAAACTTGTGCGAGCTAAGGACTAACGAGGTCTTACCTTTTAACGTGTGATTCCTAACATGGTTGCAGAATCATTCCAGCTTCAACCAGATAAATTCTTTCGAGAAAAATATCTGGTCGAGGCGGGAATCGAACCCACGGTCTTCTGATCGTGAGTCGGGCGCACTACCACCGCGGCCAATTCCACAATAATCCGGTATACATTTCTATCCATCTATTGAAAAACATTCAAAATCAGGCTGAAATTGAAAAATATATTCAAGATGAAAATTTGTTAACATTTCGATGTGGCCGTTCAATGTGGTCATTTCAATGTGGACATTTCAATGTGGCCATTCAATGTGGCCATTCAATGTGGCCATTCAATGTGGTCATTCCACTGTGGCTATTTTGATGTGGCCATTTAAGTGTGACCGTTCAATGTGACCGTTTCAAAATGGAGTGTACTATAGAACAGTAGAAATTATTTCATTGAATGATGATGTCTTAGCAAGATTGTCGTAAACTAATTTTCGATGTTTTAGGTATCGTCTGCTCAACCTCTACATCCTCCTCCAAACCAAAGTAGGAAACCAATAACATTGCCAAGTGAGGAAACATTACCAGCGAATGAAAGACTGCTCTATTTCTCACCAAATGATTCCGAAGCTGCTTCTAATTTGGCCTCGATTGCTTCTACCCCCGAGAAAGAGGATTCGAAGCAGGATATAAACATAAGTGATGGGAAATCTGGAAGCGCTTCATTAAGTAAGAGAATGTTCAAAAAATCATATTTGCTTAAAATCAATTGTAAAATGAGAATTCAAAAGCTGTTAGCCTTTAAGATGAGAAGTTTTTGATATTTTGAGGAATATTCCATTTTGATTTACCACAGGAAACAGTTTCAGAGCTCATTTTATTTATAATTTCTTCCTCAATGACGATACTACAGTTAAATCAAATTCATTACAGCCTGCAATTTTTTTGACTGGTTAAGGGAATTGAGGTAGCGCCATAAGTCACTTCACCATTTCTCTTCTTTTTCAACCTAACCTAACCTAACCTAACCTAACCTAACCTAACCTAACCTAATCTAAATTCTAAAATATATCCAATATGAGCCAATTTCGTTTCTTTTTCTTCACAGCCTTACATGACACAATTTTGGCAACACAACTTAGGCATATCAATAGAGAGTTGACGCCTACAATTTCTGAAGTATATCATGAAAGAAACATTGGTTTGGGATTGGCACCTCCCCTATCAAAACTATTACTCAACCAGTCATCTCAATCAGCTCCTAAGACCGACAACTCTATACTGGAAAAAATAACATTGGGTGAGTAACGGATTTTAAGTAGTTTTCTTACATTTTTGCATCATTGAAACAAAATGGTTCCGATATGATGAAGTCTTGCAGATGACTCAACATACAATACTAAAGATAAAAGAAATATTGTTTGCTTTGATGATTTCATTTTGATTACTACCTAAATATTTGAATATTTAATTACTCAAATGCCCTTGGTGAAAATTAACCGTCAACACTTTCTCAAACATTTCCCAATTTCTTCACTTTCAGGTATACTAGATGACGAAGACATCAGTGGCGAAATCAAACCTGTGCAATGCCAAAGATGTGACCCTGACAGTTGTACCTGCAAACTGAAGTCCAGTAAACCGTGGCTCACAGAAAATGCAAGTGCCCTTCAACAAATTCAGAGTTCTGATTTAACCACTGCTGACATATTGGAGAGAGAAGTGAAACATAAAAAAAGTCTGATGAGGTAGGTTCCTATGACATGTTTATGTTTACTTATGATGCACTGTTTGGAATGTTAGGTGTAGTAATGAATATTACTGGAGTTTTTTCCCAACATTAAATCGTCATTTTCAACACCTCGACACATGTTTCGATCACCAAGTGATCATCTTTAAAGAGCGTCAAAAACTAGACAAAGTTCATCAGCCACCCAGGCAGCTGCCCTAAATTCTTGCTCTCTCCTGGTCGCGGACTAGGCAGAGAAGGGGGTTCTCCTGATGATTTTACAGGCTCCATCCAGTACCATTCTGTCATGCAGACACTTCGAATTCCATTATCAGGGAAAGTACAATCGTGGAACTGATGATTTAGGATCATTTTTCGGGTCTTCAAGTCGAGTTGATAAAACTTCTCTCGAGTCTATTTCAGTACTCCAAACGAGTATCGACCGTTGAGATCGACCGTTGAACATTCGTCTATCCCGAATTTCCCACCAATAGCATGCGTATATTCTTCCACCGCCGCTAAAAAACTAATGGAGATCCTTTTCTCGAGAGGCATAAAGTTTAAGATCATCCATATAAAATAGATGAGTGACCTTATGCCTCCGGTTTCCAGAGGTGCCACAATTATATCCTCGAGTATTCATCAAATTATGATGAGAACATTCTGACTTCGAAGCTTATTGCTGCATTGTGGACGTTGAGGACCTACTGCTGCTCGGTAGCTAGACCAGTTTTTCATCAATGGCTCGGTAACTCTGGTTTGATTTGGATCATTTTGCTTGCACAACTCACCAAATACCTTAAATATAAATTGACCATTCCAATTTATTTTTCACCCACTTTTACACTTCTTAGACCTATTAAATACAAAGGGTACACCGACACTATTAGCCAGTATTTTCTATGCGGTGACGTAAGTATTCATTGGCTTCATTTCAATACTTTGTGTGGATGTACTGAGGGTATAGAAAGTTTCAATTCTCATATTTCATGAGAGTATATTCTATTTCATCACTCCCAAATGTAACACCATTTATCGTGCATAATAAGTGCAATGGATCACGCTTATGAAGATCATATCTTCCTCTCAACTATATCGACCTAATTATTTCCAATTTCAGATCTGAACGGAAGAGAATCGAAGAGACTGAACCAAAGCGACTCTCTCCGTTTTCAGAGATGTCTCGAAGAGATGAAGGTGACGGTCGCAGTATAGCAGACTCAACTTCTTCGAGCTACAAAAACAATCATTTCCTGGCATATCTAGCTGCCAACAAACCAAACGCCAAGATGAAGACGGTCCCTGCTCTCAGAAGAAGCGTGCCCAATCCAAATCTGAGTTGATAAAAGTAGGAAAACACTGGAGATACTAGAATTTTCCTTGTTCACTTTTCCTATCTTAACACTGTGCTTATGAGTGCCAGAAAAGTGGATCAGAAGATGAATTGACGTTTGATGGAGTATACCACAGAGGCCTTCTCCACCTTATAGTTCACAAGTAGTTGTTGCATCAGTCGGGAGTGTATTATTTTTTTTGTATATTTCAACTATTTATTGTCTTCCAATGGAGTCTGAATGATCTGTTTGTAATTGCCAATTCTCAAATAAAATATTTTTATAATGAGTGAGTCTTTGTCATTAACATTATTTTTTTCATCTTTCCATGTTTCAATATGCGTTCCAACCGAATTCAAATACTCAGTCAGCAGAGATAGACCTGATGAATATTGTTTATAGATACAGTAAACCATGAAACTTCACTAAACATACAACTCAGGAGAAAAATCATATTATAATTTTGAAGGAGATGAAGTATTTGCAACGTACGGTGTTCCACACGGTTGAGTTTTAGCCCCAGTTCTCTATTCATTTTATGATCATAAATATAGCGGCAGCCATGAAAACGACCCCAACTGCAGCACTTGAGAACCTACTCGGACTTCCACCATTGCACATCTACATTCAAATAGAAGCTCGACTGGTGACACACAGGCTAATGCAGGGGCTAACCCCAATCAGGCAGTCACATGTTGCAGAATAATTGAAAGTATACAATGAACTGAAGGCAGATCCATTACTAGGAATGCTCGTCGATAACACAATTCCGCAGTACAACTTTAAAAAATATTTCAAAATCATCATACCAAGCAGAGAGGACTGGCAAACCAGCGCGCCGGTAAAAGCGCAACAAACTTGACGGCCTACAAACACGAAAAATGGTGACAGTTTACGAGCACACGAAAAAAATATGAACAGTATTATAATAAATGTTGAATATCAGTGCAAATCTATCAACCAAGTTGAAAAGCGTGAATAGTAAGGCGCAATAATTGACAAAGATTTAAATTTTGACAGTGGTATGTGGATTGACACTCATATGTAAAGTGGCAGGTCATTCTTAAAAAGTATTTCAATTAGTTTCAAAATCGAAGAGAAGTAAACAAAAATTGTGAAAATGATGGAATAATTTCAACTTTTGGTGTACCACAAGGTTCAGTTTCAGCTCAAATTTTCTATTTACTGAACGTAATGTTGGGAAATATTTGAATTTTTCATGTTACCATACTTCACTTTAATTTGAGTAATTGAAAAAACTGATTTTTATCTATATTTTGAAGCTTCAACTATTCATATCGAACTCATAATACAGTTACAGTTCCTTCACTTGGTTCTGCTGAACTTCTCTGGATATTATCTTTCTTCTTCCTCCATTTATGAGGATCGGCCAAAATTCGCCTTCTCTGTTTTCCACCTGAAATAATTATTGGTGGTTAAAACCATCCGAATCCTTTAGAAAACAACTGAGAGTGATATATTAGGAAGTTGCCTGAGCTTTCAGGTTATTTTAAAAAAATAAATACCAAAAAATTCGTTTAGGATTGGGTTGCACCTAATAATACTATGCCAGTTTCGAGACGGAATTCCACCAATCGGACAAAACAGCAACTATGTAGATTTCGACGAAACAAAAACCTGAATTGTCAAAATGAGGAACATTTTGGAAACTGTGTTCCGAGCGACTGTTTTTATTCGGTATCAAGATCTTGCTATCCAAATTATTACTTTTAAACAGTGAATTGTGAATTTTATATAGCCCGGAGTTACCAGCTCTAAAATTTCTACAACAAAGCAGATTGATTGATTGCGTTATTTATATTTAAGGTATTTTTAACTTATTAAACCAGCACCCAATACCAGGCAACACTCTTTCAACTCGCCACGGGTCTCATAAGTGGTGCGAGGCTGAACCATGAATGTATTGTTGGACTCAAATGCCCTGGAAGGACAGATTAAGTTGGGTCTTACGTACCTAGCAGCACTGATGAGACTTACGGCGGGTCAAAACAGCGCTGTTTGATTATCGAAGTCCACAGTTGAAAAATATCAATCATCTATATTATCTTGAATAAAACAATACCTGAAAAATATTCCACTCTCCCGTAGTATACATTTGCCTGCAAGTCCTCCATAAAATAGGCCTATTGGGGAAATCGTTTCTCCAAAGAGCAAACACTTTACCACCCACCGTTAAGATAACGTCACTATCTTCAGATATCTGGACAGTATTAACTGGTCCATCATGATATTTTCCCCAGCTCAACACTTTGGCATTTTCGGAATTCACAACTTCTCCCAAGTCGAAGTCTTGGCCATCCCAGCGCAAGTGGATATAGTCACCTATAATTTCAGGAATATTATTTCATTCGATTATTTTTTTCCGTTTCCGTATTGTAAAAATATAATAATCAAAATATTTCTCTCTCGTAGAATTTTTCAATAACTTTTTCAGTAAAACCATATACATTATTGTATTTCATTGAATGTAATTTGTTTTTGTATTGTTGCAAAAATACACACATCGGAAAAGTCTGGGGATATTTTTATAACATACTGAATATCATAAAAATAAATGCATAAGGTCGTTTAATTTCGATTAAATTGGTACACTCGACCACCCTGTAGATTTCTATGGGTTGAACAAAGCCTGCAAAAACGGTAACTAATCTTTTATCAAGTTTTTTACAAACTGTAGGTTTTCGGCTAAAATGAATAATCTGAAAGTGTCGAGTTTGTACATTCTA